TAAAGAAAATAGATTAAAAAAAGACCAAAAATAAATAGCGAGCTCTTTTTTATCTTGTAATTTTGCTGGAAGTAGGAGCTGCATTTGTCCTTAAAAGAAAAAAATTAACACCGGAGCTGCTGACTAAATAAAACCCTAAAAACGAGCTCCATTTTATCTTGATATCCTGATATTAATAAGAGCTGCATTTGTCCCTAAAATGAAAAATTAAAAACACGAGTTGCTGCTTAAAAAGAGCTTAAGAAAGAACTCGTCCTCGACTTGAAATCCTAATAGTAACAGAAGCCGCATTGATCCTTAAAAAACAAAAAACAAGTCTAAGCAGGAGTTATAATTGTCCCTTAAAGAAAATAGATAAAACAAAAGCTAGTTACCTAAAAATCTAATAAACGAGCTCGTTTTTGTCTAGTTATCTTGATAGTAATAGGAGCTGCACTAATCCTTAAAAGAACAAAGTTTAAACAGAAGCTACAATAATTGTCCTTTAAAGAAAATAGATAAAAGAAAAGCTGGCGACCAAAAATAAATAGCGAGCTCTTTTTATCTTGTAATTTTGCTAGAAGTAGGAGCTGCATTTGTCCTTCAAAGAAAAAAATTAACACCGGACCTGCTGACTAAATAAAACCCTAAAAACGAGATCCTTTTTGTCTCGTCATCCTGATACTAATAGGAGCTGCAGGGGCCCTTAAAAAAAATTAAAACAGTAGCTGCTGATTAAAAAGAGCCTGAAAAAGAGCTCTCCCTCAATTTGATATCCTAATAGTAACAGAAGCCATTGATCCTTAAAAGAACAAAGTTTAAACAGGAGCTGCCTTAAAGAAAAAATTATAAAAGAAGAGCTCCTCGTTTATACTGCTGACCAAAAATACCTAAAACAACGAGCTTCTTTATATCTTATAATCCTGATAGTAACAATAGCTGCATTTGCCCCCCAAAAAAAATTGGAAAGAGTAGCTGCTGACAAAAAAAACAAAAACAAAAAAAAAAAACCATCATTTCCTCGTCTTGAAATCCTGATCGTATCAGAAACTGCAATTATTCAAAAAAGATAAGATTTACAGGAGCTGCTTACTAAAAAAAGACCAAAAATTAACTCTTCATCACCCTGAAATCCTGATCGTATAAGGAGCTGCATTTGCCCCTTCAAGAAAATATTTAAAACCTGAACTAATGAATAAATAAAGCCTAAAAAACGAGCTCCTTTGCATCTTGGAATCCTGATGGCTACATTTACCTTTAAAAGAACAAATTTTTTAAATACAAAGTTTAAGTGGAATTCTTGAAAAGGCCACCGATAAATTAACTCTTTTTCTTCTTGAAATCCTGGTAGTAACATGAAGTGGATTTACCCTTAAAAGAACCGAGTTAAAACAGGAGCTGCCTATTTGCCTGGCCTATTTTGGAGAGGTCTTTCTTTAAAAGAATTGAGTTGTTAAAAAGAAGCTTCTGATAGTAAAATAACAGATAAACGAGCTCTATTTTTGGAAATCCTGATAGTATCAGGAGGTGTAATTGTCGTTAAAAGAACCGAGTTAAAATCGGAGCTCCTGAAACACAAAAATAGATAAAAGAGCTCTTTTTCAAATCTAGAATCCTGATAATAATCTGGAGTTACAAAGCAAATCCACTGCAAACATTCGACTTCCGTCATCTTGAGGATTGGTCTAAACCAATTATAACGAAAAATTTCTCCTTGTGAAACAGACATTGCACGGCTTTGGCGTCCGTGTTGCGTCATCTCATTCCAGGCAGTTTGTAGCCGGAGAGCGGATCGGAAAATGCTTCATTAATAATACATGTTCCGCCGATCCGTATTTCTCAACCATTTACTTTTTATTATTATTGTTATGTTCTACCTCTTCTTCCCCGTCGTCGAATTAAATCGTAACAGGCGTTTAAACTGTTCCTTTCTCTCTCTTCACACTCGGTCGTCAGGGTCCTGACTCCTGACCTTTGTAGGTACGCTTCCGCCATCCGTGATGTAGCTTTCTTCTCGGCGGGTCGGGATCGTAAAAGGGCCGTGTTACGATGTAGTGAAAGTCGGCCCGTTTTACTCCGAACAGGAGCAGATTCAGCAGATTAAAACGAAAAACAAACATACCGTAGGGTTTAAAAGTTCAAAAAGCTCGATGTTTAACAACATCCCAGGTGTTTCACCTCAACGCTATCTTTAAATGGAAGAAAAAGGACAAGGCCGACAGGCGTGAAATTATTCGACCTCATTTTCACCATTTCTTTTCATAAGCCAAGTACGACAAAAATCTGAACTTGAAAAAAAAGTAAATACAAGCTCCTTTCGATTTTAAAATCCTCATCATACCATGAGTTCCAAGGTTAATCACCTGAAGTACAAACGAGCTCATTTTATATTTGAAAGCTCTTGATAAAAATAAAACCATAAATACGAGCTCCTGCCAATTTAGAATCCTGATCTTAATAGGAACATCAAATATGTTTTGTAAAAAAGTAGTTAAGAAGGGCACTGAAGAGTGTCTGAACCATATGTCACAGACGATAAATAGAGCTCCTGACTGCTTTGGATACATGATAAGTCCATAATGAGCTTATTTACCTGAAGTACAAACGAGCTCATTTTACATTCATAAGTTCCTGATAAAAATAAAACCATAAATACGAGCTCCTGCCCATATTAGAATCCTGATCTTACCAGGAGCTTCAAGGTTATTTCGTAAAAGTTAGTTAAAAAGAGCTCTGAAAAGTGTCACAGACGAAAAATAGGAGCTCCTGATTACTTTGAATACATGATATGACCAGGAGTTCTATGTTTGTTCACCTGAAATACTCTAAAAACGAGCTCTTTTAACACTTGAAGGCTCCTAATGCAAACACAACCATAAATACGGGCTCCTGCCAATTTAGAATCCTGATCTTACCAGGAGTTCCACGTTTATTTACCTGAAGTAGCTGAAAAACGAGCTCTTTTTAGTTTTATAAGCTCCTGACACAAAGAAATAAAACGAGCTCCTGCCCATATTAGAATCCTGATCTTACCAGGATCTTCCGGTTGTGTTGTAAAAATTAGTAAAAAAGAGCTCCGAAAAGTGTCACAGACTAAAAATAGGAGCCCCTGACTACTGTGGAACATGAAGACCAGGAGTTCCACGTTTAATCTCCTGAAATAGTTTAAAAACGAGCTCCTTTTAGTTTTGTAAGTTCCTGACAAAAAGAAATAAACGAGCTCCTGCCCATATTAGAATCCTGATCTTACCAGGAGCTTCAAGGTTGTCTTGTAAAAATTAGTTAAAAAGAGCTCTAAAAAGTGTCACAGTCGAAAAATAGGAGCTCCTGATTACTTTGGATACATGATATGACCAGGAGTTCCATGTTTATTCACCTGAAATAGCCGAAAACGAGCTCTTTTTAGTTTTGTAAGGTCCTGATGTAAAGAAATAAATACGAGCACTTGTCTACTTTAGAATATTTAGCGTACCAGGAACAGTAAAATGTATTAGTAAAACGCCGTTAGCGGAGATCTAAAAATTATCTGAACTATGATATTACGCTAAGTACGAACTTCTTTCCATTGTGGACCACATTGCAGCAGGTCACAAAATCCTGCTACAAAAACAACGGGAAAAATAAACCTCCTCTCCCAAGAACAGAAAACTTAAGCTCCTCCTGCGGTTCCCGATTCAAGACAACAAAGATGAAATCACGCTTCTGTCCAAAGGATGGAAAACAACAATAACTCCCATGCTATCTGATTCAAAACTACAAACATGAAACTAAGCTCCTGCCATAAAAACTGAAAACTTAACCTCCTCCAGCGACTCCCAATGCAAAACGACGTAGGTGAAATGAAGCTCCTGTCTGAAGAACTGAAAACTTGAACTCCTATCAAGGCTCCTGATACAAGACGACCATGTTGAAATCAGGCTCCTGTCCGAAGAACTGATAACTTGAGGTCTTTCGGCGACTCCTGATACAAGACGATGTAGATAAAAAGAAAGCTCCTGTCTTAAGAACTGAAAAGTTGAACTGTTACCAACGCTCCTGATGCATGATGGCGAACTTGAAATCAAGCTCCTGCCCGAACAACTGAAAACCCGATATCCTTCAGCAACTCCTGATACAAAACGACGATGTTGAAATCAAGCTCCTGTCCGAACAACTAGAAACCCGAGCTCCTTCAGCGACTCCTGATACAAGATGACCATGTTGAAATCAAGCTCCTGTCCGAAGTACTTAAAATTCGAGATCCTCCAACGACTCCTGATACAAAATGACAAAGTTGAAATCAAGCTCCTGCCCGAACAACTGAAAACCAGAAGTCCTTTAACGACTCCTGATACAAAACGACGATGTTGAAATCGAGCTCCTGCCCGAACAACTGGAAACCCGAGCTCCTTCAGCGACTCCTGATACAAAACGACCATGTTGAAATCAAGCTCCCGTCCGAAGTACAAAATTTGAGATCCTCCAACGACTCCTGATGCAAGACGGCCATGTTAAAATCAAGCTCCTGTCCGAGGTACAAAATTTGAGATCCTCCAACGACTCCTGATACAAAATGACAAAGTTGAAATCAAGCTCCTGTCCGAAGTATTGAAAACCTGAATTCCTCCAACAGTTCCTGGTACAGAGGAAGACGAAATGAAACTCCAATTACAAAGATGAAAAACAAACCAAGCGTATGCTTTATTTTAACAATCTATGCTCCCTTGCTCTTAATAGAATCTGATTATTCAAGGAGTAAAACTTTCGCGTGTTGAAAATTAATCTGGCTCGTACTGGCTAGGATAGGTCAGCCGCGACTTACCGCGCCTTCTACACGTGGGCCCGTGCTTTGCAATAGTTTCTATTTTCATGAGAATTGCATCTATTTCCGCATATTGCCCCTCCAACTTTACGGTCAGCGTCGGTGAAAGGGAAACCGCGTTTATCTCTCTGTGCGCCCTTGCGCAACAGAAAGAGAAATCACTAGAAACTTTAAACAGAAACAAATCCGCAAAAATTTTTTTTAAATTATTATTTTTTAGACCGGGGCCTGAACGGGAGGACGATACTTCTCACCGGTTTCACAGGCTTCATGGGCAAAGTGCTGACGGAGAAGCTCCTCCGATGTTGCCCTGAGGTCAGGCATATTTACCTCGTAGTCAGAGAGAAGAAGGGCAGAAGCGCAACGGAAAGGATGGAGGAAGTGCTCAAAGACCCCGTAAGTATTGCTTAAAAAACACTAATTACGAAACTTGTGCTTGGCCTGAGGAAGAATCAAGATCGCTATTACGATGACCACCGGACCGGTCGTAGCCCGGCACACTTTCGACAGGAAGACGCCGAAATCCTCGCGAGTAGGTGTTAGGCGAAAAGAGAAATCTAATATAATTTACCGGTTAAAATTACAATAAAACAAGAACTTGATGTCCAGCTCTTGAAGTATAGAAGTGGCAAGTTGTAGGAGGTTCAAAATATTTGAGCTATTATTATCCAGGAGTAGAACAAAACTTGAGCTCCTGTTATCAACCAAGGTAGGACTAAACTATAGTTACTTAAATCAACGAGGAGTTGAACAAATTTAAGCTCTACATTATTAACAAGGAATAGAAAAAAATGAGCTTAGGACAATTTTTGAATCCTGCTATCAATCAGGAGTTGGAAAAATTTGAGTTCTTTTAATCGAACAGGAGTAAGATAAAATTTGAGCTCCTGTTAAAAATCAATAAAATTCAAGATGACACTTCAACCAAAAGTTGAACAACCAGGAGTAGAACAAAGTTCGAGCTCCTGTTATTAACCAGGAGTAGGACAAAATTAAACTCCTATTATCAACCAGGAGTAGGACAAATTTTAGCTCCTGTTATCAACTAGGAGTAGGACGGACTTTCACTTCCTTTTATCAACCATGAGTAGAACAAAGTTCGAGCTCCTTTATTAACCAGGAGTAGGACAAAATTAAACTCCTATTATCAACCAGGAGTAGGACAAATTTTAGCTCCTGTTATCAACTAGGAGTAGAACGGACTTTGACTTCCTTTTATCAACCATGAGTAGAACAAAGTTCGAGCTTCTGTTTTTAATCTGTAGTAGGACAAATTTTAGCTCCTGGTATTAAGGAGACGTCGAATAAAATTTGAACCCCTACTATCAACCAGGAGTAGGACGAAATTATAGCTGCTTTAATAACCAGGAGTAGAACATAGTTGTTGCTCCTGTTATCAACAAGGAGTTGGACAAAATTTTATCTCCTGTTTTAAGCAGATGTAGAATAAAATTTGAACTGGACTAACTTTAGTTTCTTTAATCAACCAAGAATACAAAAAATTTGAGCTCCTGTTAGCGACCAAGTGTAATGTAGGACATTTTCACTCCTTCTATTAACCAGGAGTCGAGAAAAATTTGAGCTCCTGTTAGTACAGGAGTAGAATACAATTTGAACTCCTTTTATCAACCATGAGTAGATCAAAGTTCGAACTCCTGTTTTTAATCTGGAGTAGGACAAATTTTAGCTCCTGTTATTAAGGAGATGTAGAATAAAATTTGACCTCCTACTATCAACCAGGAGTAGGACGAAATTATAGCTGCTTTAATAACCAGGAGTAGAACAAAGTTCCCTGTTATCAACAAGGAGTAGTACAAAATTTTATCTCCTTTAATCAACCACGAGTAGAACAAAGTTCGAGCCCCTGTTATTAACCAGGAGTAGGACAGAATGAAACTCCTGTTATTAACCAGGAGTAGGACAAATTTTAGCTCCTGTTATGAATCATGAGTAGGACAAACTTTGACCAGGAGTAGGACGAAATTACAGCAGAACAAAATTCATGCTCCTGTCATTAACAAGGAGTAGAACAATTTTGAGTTCCTGTAATTAAGGACGAGTAGAATACACTTTTGAACTCCTACTATGAACCAGGTATAGGACCAAAATATAGCTGTTTTAATCGACCAGGAGTAGAACAAATTTGAGCTCCTGTTAACAATCAGTTGTAGAACTAAATTCAAACTCTGTTTCAACCTGTCTCGACCAAACGTTGAACAAAATTTGAGTTCCTGTTATCAACCTGGTGTAGGTCAAAATTTCCTGATGTTATCAAATAGCAATTATCAGGGGTTGAATAGGTGATGGAAAAAAGGTCGTGATTCATGGATTTTCCAAGACTGAGGAATGAACTTGACTCCTAGGACTTAACTAGAAAATTACTTGAGCTCCTAGGATGGATGGGGAGTAAAAAAGGGATTCTTTTGGCGTACCAGGAGCAGAAAAGATTTGAATCCCTTGGATGTATCAGGAGTAGTAAGATAGTTGAGCTCGGTAATCTAGCGTGGGAAAAAAGTCAAGCTCTTATCATATTATAAACACTATTACGCATCTTAAAAGTGAAAAATTTGACATGAGTTACTGGTTGTATCAGAAGCGGAGACAAGACTTAAGGAGCTTCTTGGTAAAAAAAAAATACATACCATGTATTAGCTTAGATTTTAGTCATTAGTTGGGCGTAATTTGTCTTCGACGTCGGTTAGGGAGAACGCGTACGTCATATAATAATTGACCTGAAATTACACGCCTCCTGGGAATTTCTGACAGCCTATTACGTCGCCTTTGCGTTCGGTGTCGCAACTCGGCCGATTTTTCTGACCCGGTTAGCGAACGGAAAATTTGAAAATGAGAATGAGTAAGAAAGAGAGAGATTGAGTGAGAGAGACCATCAACCGCAAGGTTTCTCCACATAAAAAGCCAGACAACAATACATTACACATTGGTTTGTGGCGGGTCAATCTAGCCCAATTACCAACGGGTTTGTTATCCGGATAATAATAATAATTGATAATTATCGAAAAGGTGAAGGATAAGGGAAAATTAATTGGGTAGGTATCGAAGTCGAAAAACTTTGGGAACAATCAAAACGATAGACCCTGTTGTCCTTTTGACTGCCCACAAAGTTCTTTCACACAGGAGCTCGAATCAAGATTCACCCGGTACATCATAAGAGTTCAACTACTTTTTTCACTCCTCATACATCGGAGTTTTTTTTTAAATTCCTGATATATCCTAGGAGCTGAAAATCAATCCCTGATTTAGGATTTTTATCAAGCTCAAATTTTGTTCTACTCCAGGTTGATAAAAAGGAGTTCAAATTTGTTATAATCCTAGTTGATAAAAGGAGCTAAAATTTTCTTCCACTCCTGGTTGATAGTAGGAGTTCAAATTGTATTCTACTCCTGCTTAATAACAGGAGATCAAATTTTTCTCAACTTCTGGTTGATAGAAGGAGTGAAAATTTTGTCCAACACTACAGCTGGTCGCTAACAGGAACTCAAATTTTTGTACTCCTGGTTGATTAAAGGAGCTATAGTTTCGTCCTACTCCTGGTTGATAATAGAAGTTCAAATTTTATTCTACTTACTAACAAGAGCTAAAATTTAATTTTACTCTCGGTTGATAACAGGAGCTCAGATTTTTTTTAACTCGTGGTTCATTAAAGGAACTATAAATTCGTTCGATTAAAGGAGGTCAAATTTTATCCTACTCTTTGTTGATAACAGGAGCAAGATTTTTGTCAACTTTTGGTTGAAACACGAGCTTGAGTTTTGTTCTAGGACTGTTGTTAGCAGGAGCTCAAAATTTCTCTTACTCCGGACTAATAACAGGAGATGGAGTTTTGTCTACTCCTGATTGATTACAGGATTTTAATTTTGTTCTAATCTTAATTGATAATAGAGCTCAAATTTTATCTTAATCCTGGCTAATAACCGGAACTCAAATTTCCCTACTCCTGGCTTATAACAGGAGCTCAGATCTTGTTATACTACTGGGTTGATAACAGGAACTTGAAATTTGTTCTACTCCTGGTTGATAACAAATGCTCAGATTTGTTTCTAGTTCTGGTTGATTAAGGGAGCTTTGGACATACACCTGGTTGATAGCTGGGGCTTATATTTTATTCTACTCCTGCTTAATAACAGGAGCTGAAATTTTGTTCTACTCCTGGCTGGCCACAGGAGTTCAGATTTTGTCCAACTCTTGGTTGATAGTGGGAGTTCAAATATTATTCTACTCCGCTTAATAAGAGGAGCTAAAATTTTGTTCTACTCCTGGTTGTTGGTAGGAGTTTAACGTGTTGGAATAAGTCCAATTCTACTCCTGATTGTTCTTGGAGCTAAAAACCGATTTTACTCTTGGTACATCCTAGGAACTAAAATGTACTTCTGCCCCTAGATCCTAGGTACTCGACTACTTTTTTACTCTTGATATATCCAAGGGACCCATTTTTTTTATTTATTTTTTTTTAACTCCTGATACGTCTTCGGAGTACTACCTTTAGTTCCACTCTTGGTACTCTGTACGAGCTCAACTACTTTTCTGTTCACACAGCTTTCAATTCTACTCAGGTCTACAGCAGAGGTCATATCAATCCTCAGGGGCCGGTGTTTTTGAAAAAAAGCTCATTTGTAAGTATGTCGGATTCGAATGCAGGGCCGGTGGATTCGAACCCGGGACCTTTACCTTACAGTGATGAGCGCCGTGTCAACGCTTAAACCGTTGCGGCCACCGACGCCCCTACTCAGGTCTTCAGGACCTTTCTTTTGATACCCGTGATTCAGGTAGACCTTGGCACCGGATTTTCCCCTTTGTTGAGCACGCAGTCCTTCTATGTGGGTTAAAGGTCGTTTTTAAATGAATGGACGTGATTTTTTTGTGACCAACGCTATACTATTACTTTATAATTATTCCTTATTAAACGGCGTTTCCCCCCTTGGACCGTTTTTTTGGTCCGCCGAGCATGACTTCACGCTTCCTCCTTCGGCTTCTGCCTGAAAACAAACAATTTAATCGTCTTCTTTTTTCTTTTAGTAATATATTTTTCCTTCTTATGCCTCCAGCTTTTCTCCGTCCTGGAGAAGGAGGTGCCCAAATACAGGTTGAGACTCACAGCTCTCAGCGGCGACTGCAGCCTGCCCAACCTGGGACTGAGCGACGAGGACAAAAAGAAAGTCACGGATGAGGTAAATGACATATTATCCTTTTTTTTAATATTGAGGTCTAATTCAGTCCCTCCGAACAGGTCAGCATGGTATTCCACGGCGCTGCCACAGTCAGGTTCGACGAAAGTCTCAAAGTCGCCTACCTCAGCAACGTTCAAGGCACGAAGGAGGTTCTCAGGCTGGCCAAGGAGATCAAAAACTTAGCGGTAAGTTGATTCGACCGTTGTTTAAAAACGTTTGAGCTCCTATCGGCAAACATAGATCAGAAGCTCCTGAAGTTTTCGTTCTGCTCCTGACACCCGTGTATGATCAAGTCAAAACGGTAGGAGCCCCAAATTCTACTGATCAGGAGTTGAGCTCCTCTATTTTCCTTTCTGCTCCTAATATCGGTTGAATTGGCCTCAAGCTCCTAATACCTTTAGACAAATCACGTTAAGCTCCTAAGTTAACATGAACTTCTTTTCCAACATAAGTATGTAATCTCTTTAAGTGTCATATATGCTCCTGATACCTGTTGGTAAAATACGGTAGGCTCCTAGTTTTAGAAACGGAAGCTCCTATTCTAAAGGAGTTGAGCTCATTTAATTTCATTTATGCTCCTGATATCTCTATATAAATCACTTCATACTCCTGATACCTTTGGACAATCCACGTTAAGCTCCTTAATTAAGAAATTGGAACTGTTTCCAGACATCAGTGGGTCAGGTCTTAAGTTTCATTCCTGATACCTGTTTGTAAATCAAGTCAAGCTGCTAACTTAAGCAACTGGAGTTCATATTCTAAAGGAGTTGAGCTCTTTTAATTTCATTTCTGCTCCTGATATCTCTACATAAATCATTTCATGCTCTTGATACTTTTGGACAATTCACGTTAAGTTCCTTAATTAAGAAATTCGAACTTTTTCCATACATCACTATCGTCTTTAAGTTTTATTTTGCTCCTGATACCTGTCCTAAGTTTAAAAACTGGAGCTCATATTCTACAGAACGGTAGTAGAGCTCTTTTTTTTTCTTTTCAACTCTTGATACCTGTCTGTAAAACAAGTCATGCTCGTTATCCTTTCGGGCAATTCATGTTAAGCTTCTAAGTTAAGAAAAAGGAGCTCTATTCTAAATAACAGGAGTTGAGCTCTTGTAGTTTTTTTCTGCTCTTGATATACCTCTGTCAATCAAGTCAAGTTCCGGCTACCTGTTTTAAAACACGTTTCCTAAGGTAAGAGAAACAGGAGCTCCTATTCTAAAGATTGGGGGTAGATAAGCTCCATTATTTCCCTTTCAGCTACTGATACCATTCAGAAAGTCACGAACCTGACCCAATGTTTCAGGTCCTCGTCCACATCTCAACAGCGTATGCCAACTGTCACCTCCAGAAGATCGAAGAGCGATTCTACGAGGCGCCTATGGACGACAAAAGGCTTGAGGATATGGTGCAGAACATGGATGACAGCATACTCGAGGCCATCAGGCCAAAGTGAGTCCGATTCGTCTACCAAGAGGGGGTTTATTTTAATGATTTTTTTTCGCAGGATCATAGGAAGGTGGCCGAACACGTACTCGTTCACAAAGGCCATGGCTGAGTCTATCGTCAAGTCATACGCCAGTCAGCTCCCAATCGTCGTGTTCAGACCTGCTATCAGTGAGTTTGTCTTGGTGTGTTTTTGTGTTCAGTTTGTTTGATGGAATGATCAGTCGTAGGCACGTCCAAGGAGCCGCTGATCGGCTGGACGGACAACCTGTACGGTCCGACTGGGATCGTAGTCGGCGCAGGGTGTGGAGTGCTAAGGTCGATGTACTGCGACCTGGACTGCATCGCCAATATCGTACCTGTAGACATGGCCGTGTCGGCAATGCTGACCGGGGCCATCAAGAGGATACAGGACCCGTAAGTACCAGTAAGCATCAAGTCCCAAGCGAAGATTGAACTTTGTACCTTGTTTAGCCCCGCAGACGACACCATACCAATATACCACTTCGTCTCATCTACCGACAACCCTCTGAAGTGGAGGGAGTTCAAAAGGCTCATCGAGCTTCACGGGCAGGACGTTCCGCCCATCAAGGCAATCTGGTGCTACTTCATGACGACCCATAGGTACAAGATCAACCACTACATTGCCATACTCTTCCTCCACTACCTGCCTGCCATCATACTCGATACCATAACCAAACTGACAAAAGGAGACAACCCTAAGTATGCCTATAAACCAAAATTGTCCTAAAAAACCAAAATTTACTATTCTCCTTCATTGCAGCTTGTACAAGATCTACAGGAAGATTGACAAGTATTCCGAGATAATTGAACACTTCTCAATAAGGAGCTGGGATTTCACAAATGACAACATGAAAAAGTTGAGGATGATGCAGACGGACAAGGACAGGGCAGAGTTCAACTTCGACATCGCAAACCTGAACTGGAGCGAATTCTTCTATAACTATATACGAGGTCTACGTGTCTATTTGTTGAAAGATGGCATGGAGACGCTGCCAAAAGCGAGGGTGAGGTGGCACAGGTTCCAGATCGCCCAGAGGATCATGCTCACAATTTTCTACCTCTTTGTCGCCCTCATGGCCTACAGGCTCTTCACCTGCTTTCTGTCCATCACGGCATGACCTGAAGGCAGAAATCAACGCGAAGCCCTTCTTGCCTTAGCCATTTATAAATTTAAAAATTAATAATTAAACATGTTATAGCATATTTGTACATATAAACACAATTTACACCTTGATTATACTCATTAATTTTACTATTACATTAGTTATTTACTGACTCGGTCAATAAAATATCAAAAAATGTCAGTTTCAATTTTTTAAACCTTTCATAAAGTGTGATCAGTAACTCCAGAAACAGCACCAAAATTTATTAACTTTCTGCGTGATCAGTAACCTCATAACACCACCAAAATGTACCTTCAGCCTCCACAATGTGTCATCAGTAACTTCATAACAGCACCAAAATGTGTAATCAGTAACCTTATAACAGCACCAAAATTTACCTTCAGCCCTCCACAATGTGTAATCAGTAACCTCATAACAGCACCAAAATTTACCTTAAAGCCCTACACAATATGTAATCAGTACCCTCATAACAGCACCAAAATTTACCTTCAGCCCTCCACAATGTGTAATCAGTAACCTCATAACAGCACCAAAATTTACCTTCAGCCCTCCACAATGTGTAATCAGTAACCTCATAACAGCACCAAAATTTACCTTCAGCCCTCCACAATGTGTAATCAGTAACCTCATAACAGCACCAAAATTTACCTTCAGCCCTCCACAATGTGTAATCAGTAACCTCATAACAGCACCAAAATTTACCTTCAGCCCTCCACAATGTGTAATCAGTAACCTCATAACAGCACCAAAATTTACCTTCAGCCCTCCACAATGTGTAATCAGTAACCTCATAACAGCACCAAAATTTACCTTCAGCCCTCCACAATGTGTAATCAGTAACCTCATAACAGCACCAAAATTTACCTTCAGCCCGCCACAAAGTGTAATCAGTAAACTCATAAAGCAAAATTTTATCAACTTTTTATACAATAAATCATAATTAAAAATATCAGTTTTATCATTTTTCTATCAAAAATTTTGTAATATTTCTTTTCTTGGTCTTGACCAATTATTTTAAGAGAGGTTGGGGCAGACAGCATTTTATGAGTTAATGAACCAATTTTATTTCACAAAGGAACAAGTCACAGTGGTTTTTTTCCCCACCAATAATATAAAAATTAATGCTAAAATTTTCATTCACTCAGCAAAACATATGCCGCCGTCGTTGAACTGTTTCTTCTCGATTTCTTTGAGTATGCACTTGATCTTGGCGATGCGTTCCCGCAATTTAGTGTTCTGCTTGTAAAGGTTCTTTATTATCCTGCTCTTGATCTGTACAATCTCCCTGTTGTATATGATCTCGAGCCGGAGCTTCCTCTTGAGCGGTGTCTCATCCTTGAGGCTCTTCCCGCATGGTACAGTAACGAGGAGGTAGGACGAGTTCTTGGTGCTATTCTGTTCAGCCGGCTGGTCTTTCTGGTTCTAAATTTTGGTAGATTATTATTTTTTGTATGATTAATATTTATTATGCTTGTATTTTACCCCAACAAATATGCAGGTTGGGTTCGCCTCGTTGATCTTGGCCCCTTTCTCTTTCGAATGGGCGAGCTCTTTTATAATATCCTCACCTTCCGAGCTAGTCGAATTTAATGAGTTTTCTGATTCTCGGTCCTGAATATCAGCAGTAAATTTTTTTTTTTTTTTAAAGAAGAAAAACACATGTTTAAAATACAGGTTTCAAGTTTCATGATCAAGATTTGAAAAATTTTAAAAAATCAATTTTTTTTGTGCGTGATCGCTACTATGCCCCTAAGAAGGAAACACTTGTTGACGAAGAAGGAGGAGATGTGGTGCTACATCCTATACAAGTTCATCAAGTCGTTGAAGGAGGAGGAGGACGAGAAGTTCGCAAGGAAGAACAGCCTTGACTACATTATCAACAAGCTCAAAGAGTCAATGAGTGCAAAGCAGATGGGGCAAGAGGACGAGGATGAGTGGGAGGACATCGACACAGAACAGGAGGACGCATTTGACTCTGGCTACCTTGAGGACAAGCCAGGTGATGACATGCTACGCGTTCTGCTCCAGGGGCTCGTCGAGAGCAACATGCTACCTCTGAACAACCGAGGCGACCGGTGATATAGAGAAATTAAAGAGAGAGAGCAAAAAAAAGAGAGAAAAACTTTTATCTGACCAAACAAAAATTGTACATGATGGATAGTATTTATTTATTTTTTAGTATTTGTTTATTTTTATGCGAGACGATGTTCTAGCATGAAAAAAAAGGGTTGAAAGCTTTTTTCACATGTTCCATCCAAAGGAGGGAGAGCTTTTTTTACTATATTACATCTTGACAAGTCTAAAGTTTCCCTGTTTCCAACAAAAAATATATTTATGCCAGAAAAAAAATCCCTAAAATCTTCAGACTGATTTGAACTTTCACAATAAAAAATCAAAGACAAAAGATGTTTTTACAATATATAACTTTGAACATTCTAGTCACCCTAGTTCCAACAGAAACAAAACATTATTAAAAGACAAATCGTCAATTTGTCAGGCAAACCTAAATACTCCCTCAAAAATAAATAAAGGACGAGAGCTTTTTAAATAAATTCAAATCTTGAAATGACTAAAGCTTTCCTGGCTAGAAACCAAAAATCAGATGGGTATAAGCTTTTTCCCTTCAAAAACTTTTTTTAATGACAATAAGGTTGAGATGAAAAAAAGTTAATGGCACGAGATTTTTTTTTTTTTTTTTAAATGAGCTTGTTAAACAAACTTAACTTTTCACAATAAAAATCCAAAGGAGGAGAGTTTCTTATATCTTTTCACTCCAAAAAGTCTAAAGTCTCCATGGTTCCAACTAAAAAAATATTAAGGCATGAAAAACTCAAGACATCTTCAACTTGCCAGACGGAGTTGAACTTTCATAAAAAAATCAAATAAAATCAATTCAATGAAAAAATTCAAAGGTGGAGAGGCGTTTTTATACCTTTTCACCTTAAAATGTCTAAAGTTAATATAACAAAATATTTAGTCCTGAAAAATCCCAAGAAATCATCAACTTGTCAGACAAACCTAAACTTTCGCAAATAGTAAAAAATCCAAAGGAGGAGATACGAGACTTTTTTTCCAACTTCTCATCTTGAGAAGTCAAGTTACCTTGGCTCCTCCAAAAAGAAAGATTTAGGCAAGGAAAATTGGAACAAATTCAGAACTCATTAGACCAGGTGAACTTTTACAATAAAAAAACCATAGAAAACTTTTTGTAACAACTTCTCCAGCTAGTTTCTCTTGTACAAATTAAAAAGAAAAAAGTACATTTTCCCTTTTTTTTAAATCTAGCAATATTGACCTCCTTTGACCAACTTTCACAAATAATAATGAAAATCCAAAGGAGGATAGTTGTTTTTTTCCAACTTCTCGTCTTGGCAAGTCAAGTCGCCTTGGCTCCTCCAAAAAAAAAAGATTTAGGCCAGGAAAATACCAAGAAAACCAGAATTCGTTAACCATGGTAAACTTTTACAATAAAAAACCAATAGAAAACTTTTTTTAACAACTTCTCGCCATGGCAATAAAAATTTCCTGGTACAAATAAAAAACTGTATTTAGGCCAGACAAAATCCAAGAAATCCAGAGCTCATTAGATCAAGTTGAACATTTACAATAAAAGCCAGAGGTGCAGAGCTTTTTGTTACACCTTCTCAACTTGGCAGCTAGTTTCTCTGGTACAAATTAAAAAGAAAAAAGTACATTTTTCCCTGTATTAAAAATCTAGCAATATTGACCTCCTTTGACCAACTTTCACAAATAATAATGAAAATCCAAAGGAGGATAGTTCTTTTTTTCCAACTTCTCATCTTGGCAAGTCAAGTTGCCTTGGCTCCTCCAAAAAGAAAGATTTAGGCCAGGAAAATACCAAGAAATCCAGAGCTCATTAGATCAAGTTGAACATGTACAATAAAAGCCAGAGGTCCAACATTTTTTTACACCTTCTCAACTTGACAGCTAGTTTCTCTGGTACAAATTAAAAAACAAGAATTCGTTAGAACTTTTAGAATGAAAAACCATAGAAAACTTTTTTTGACAACTTCTCACCATGGAAATAAAAATTTCCTGGTACGAATAAAAAACTGTATTTAGGCCAGACAAAATCCAAGAAATCCAGAGCTCATTAGATCAAGTTGAACATTTACAATAAAAGCCAGATGTGCAGAGCTTTTTTTACAACTTGGCAGCTAGTTTCTCTTGTACAAATTAAAAAGAAAAAAGTACATTTTTCCCTGTATTAAAAATCTAGCAATATTGACCTCCTTTGACCAACTTTCACAAATAATAATGAACATCCAACTGAGGATAGTTGTTTTTTCCCAACTTCTCATCTTGGGAAGTCAATTCGCGTTGGCTCCTCCAAAAAGAAAGATTTAGGCCAGGAGAATACCAAGAAAACCAGAATTCGTTAGACCATGGTGAACTTTTACAATCAAAAACCATTAGACCATTTTTTAACAAATTCTCGCATTGGAAAATCTAATGCCGGCTTGTTCCTACTAAAAATAAAAAATATTTTTGACAGAAAAAACCCCAAGAAATCCTTGGACCTGTCAGATCAGCTTGCACATTGACTATAAAAAAGCCAAATGATGAGAACTTTTTTTATGACATCTCACCTTGAAAATTTTCCCTGGCAAATAAAAAACAATAAAAAAAATCTAGTGTGAAAAAGCAAAAAATCTCAACTTCTGTCGATAACAATTAACAAATGGCACATTTCAATAATATTTACATCCTTGCAGTCGATCGGCACTGCGTCCGGTACAAGGCAGATCCTCGTCATCGTCGATTCAATGTCCTTCTCTTCGAAGTGGTCGGAGCAGATGACAGACGACTGAGATGGGAAGAAATTTTTGGGCAGCCTCAGCCTGCGAAGCCAGATCTTCCTCAGCTCCTTTTTCTTTGGGAACCTGTCCAAAATAAAAAAAGTTAATGAATTGACTTCGTAGGATCAATCATCTCACTTGTGGAAACTGATGCCCGAGGTCTTCTTCCAGTCGTTGGCGCAGCCCAGGACGCTGCACTTGGTCATCTCTTCGTCTCGGCCGTCTGTTCTGCCAGGGCCAGCCCGTTTGTCAAAATGATCAATGATCGCGGGACGATCATGGGAGGTTACGCGGCTGTTATAAATGATCCCGATCGACGACCTTGGGCTCATGGAATCATGACGTTGATCGTGGGAAAAAAGGGTATGAATCAGAGGGACAGAATTAAATTTAAAAAAAATGTTTGTTTTTTTATTCTTACCTGGAAATCACAAGACAATTCAAGGTGAGAAGATGTAAAAAAAAGCTTTCCTCCTTTTTTTACTGAGATAGTTTAGAATTGTCTGACAAGTGGAAGATTGTTTGGGTTGTTCTGTGAAATATGTATATATATATATATATATATATATATTTTTTTTTTTTTCTTTTTTCTGTATGAGCCAAGGCAATTAGACTTTTAGACTTGTCAAGATGAGAGTTGGGGAAAAAGCTCTGGTAAAAAATTCTCCTTTTTTTTATTATTTGAGAAAGTTGGTCAAAGGAGCCCATCATTGCTTTGGGTTTTAAAGCCGAAAAAAATAGATTTTAATTTTTTCATTTTTTTATTTGTACCAACTAGACTTCAAAATGAAAAGGCGTAAAAAAGCTCCCTATCTTTGGATTTTATTGCGAAAGTTCAACTTATTGTTAGTTATTATAGCATTGTAGTTATGTATTATATATTATTTTATTTAAGGGTCTTAAGCCTTCAGAAGGTGAGAAATAAAAAAAAAACTTTCTACCTTTGGTTTTCAATGCGAAAGTTCACCTCGGTCTTAAGAGCTAAAGATTTCTTGGATTTTTCTAGCATAAATTTTTTTTTTAAATCTTATGACTTTAGAAGGTGAGAAGTAAAAAAAGCTCCCATCCTTTGTTTTTTTATTGTGAAAGTTCAACTTGGACTAATGAGCTCTGGATTTCTTGGTATTTACTTGGCCAAAATATATTTTTTGTTCAATACAGGGAGCTTTAGACTTTTCAAGGTGAGAAGTTGTAAAAAAAGCTCTGATTTCTTGGTTGTTTTTATTGTGAAAGTTCTCAAGATTTCCTTGATTTTGTCAGACCTGAATATATTTTTGGTTGGATCCTGGTTGTCTTTAGACTTTTCAAGGTGAGAAGTTGCAAAAGAAAGCTTTCACCACTTCATTTTTTATTGTGAATCTTCAAATTGGTCAGACGAGTTTAAGATTACTTTTTTCCTGGCCTAAATAGTTTATAATGGAGAAAGGGAGACTAGGCTTTTTCAAGGTGAGAAATTATAATTAAGTTGTCACTGTTTAAAGGCAATTTTTTTTTGTATTGTTAACAGGGATTCTTTAGACTTTCCAAGTTGAGAAGTTAAAAAAAAGGTTTTATCCTCTAGATTTTTATTATGAACGTTTAGGTGTCTGACAAATTGAAGAATTTGTAGTTGTTGCTTTTTTAACAATTTTTTTTAACAGGGAGAAAATAAACTTTTTAAGTTGTAAAGTTGTCAAAAAAATCTATCATCCTTTGTTTTTATTTCTTGGATTTTTCCTGGTTGTATATATTTTTTGTTGGAAAGCACGAAATTTTGGACTTTTCTGGACTTTTCAAGATGAGAAGTAAAAATAGGTCTCACTTCTTGGTTTTTTATTGTGAAAGTTGGAGTTGATCTGACAAACTCAGGATTACACGGGTTTTTTTCTGATCAAATATTTTTTGTGTGGGAGCAGGGGAACTAGACTTTTCAAAGTAGTTTTTTTCACCCCCTTGGTTTTTTTTTGAAAAGTTTAACAAGAAACAGATAATTTTATTTTGCCGTTTTTTTTGTTTTTTTTATAATGAACAACTCCCATTACGAATTTTGTGTAAGGTTAGCCGGCAAAATTCTACGCTTTTGATAGGCGACCGGCGAAATTGTGTCAGGTTACTGTAAGGTTACTGGCCAACTTTGCCGCTTTAGGTAGTTCCTCCTCGGTTTTCTAATTTCGGACAATTTTGCCGCCGAGAAAGCGCCATCTCGCGGCGAACACGTGATGGAACATAAATAAAAATGTAATAATGTAAAAAAATTTCTATTTTTGGTTTAGTTTTTTAAAAGGACCTGCTGAGACCGTAGATATTTTAAAATGTCTAGAAAGACTTGTGTCAACCATGTGTCACGAGACGAGGCTCATGGCATCGGAACCTGCCCTCCAGTAGACTCCTCCTGCAGAAAGGCATCAGTACTTCGCAGTAGGTTCGTTTCACAATATTTCGCCTTCCAGTAGCAGAGTGCAGATGTCCGTCGAAGATTCAGCGACACCCTGTACATCGCGGCGGATCTCGTAGACGCCCGGGGTTTTGAAGAGTCATGACTTGTCGACGGTGAGTACCGCCACGCCCGGGGGCCGTTAGAGTATGCCCTGCGGTCCGTCGGGTCTCGCTTCAAATAAAACCCGAGGTGAAAACAAGAAGGTCGATGGGCAGTACTGCCCGTCAGCCTCAGAAGAACCGAGATTGAAAGCTTGATAAACAAAGACTTGGTTACAACAACAATAAATAAAATAACAAAAGTAAAAAAAGCCAAACTTGAAGGATTTTGGTGGATCGTGCGTGATTTTTCTAAAAAATGATTTTAATTTTTACGTTCTTTTAAGATATTCTTGAAAGAAAGATTTCGGAATTTGGTCGTTATCGATCGACCTGATCTGCCTAAAAACACCTCATAAAAACTCAAAAAAACAAACAAAAAAGAACTCAGTAACCTCATAAAAAATATCACAGCAAAATTTTTTATAGACATGAAAATATTAAAACATTCCTAAAAAAAACTAACTCAATTAACTCAGAAAAATAAATCAGTAATCTCATCAAAGAAAAACTATAGCAAAAACTCACAGTAACCACACTAAAAATAAATTAATAACCTCATTATAAGAAGAAAAAAAAATAGGATTAAAACTTTGACAAAACTAATTAAAAGAAATGTTCCTCTGGATATGAAAGCAGTAAAATCTTGATGGGCAATACTGCCCGTCATCCTCAGAAGAACCCAGGTTGTAAGCTTTATAAAGAAAGTCAAGGTTACAAGAAAAAATAGAATAACAAAAGTAAAAAAAGTCTAACTTGAAGGATTTTGGTTTTCATGGAATGTACATGATTTTTGAAAATAAAATTAAATAAAAATGAGTAAATAAAACGAATTTACTTTTTTTTGATTTTTAAGATATTTTTGAAGGAACGTGTTTGGAATTTGGTCGTTATCAATCACCACCTTGATCTGCCTAAAAACACTTCATAAAAACTTAAAAAAAACAAAAACAGTAACCTCATTAAAAAATTATAGCAAAATTTCTTATATACCTAAAAGTAGTAAAACATTCCTCAGAAAAATAAATCAGTAACCTCATCAGGGGAAAAATATTGCAAAAACTCACAGTAACCACATTAAAAATAAATTAATAACCTCATTATAGGAGGAAAAAAATTAGGATTAAAACTTTGACAAAACTAATCGAAAGAAATGTTTCCTTGGATATAAAGGCAGTAAAATCTTAATGGGAATACTGCCTGTCATCCTCAGAAGGTCACAGGTTGAAAGCTTTATAAAGAAAGTCAAGGTTACAAGAAAGTCTAACTTGAAGGATTTTGGTTTTCATGGAATGTACATGATTTTTTTGAAACAAATTTACATTTTTTTTTTAAATGAGGTTACTGAGTTGTTTTTGTAGTTTTTGTGAAGGTTTTTTTAGGTAGACTATGGGAATCGATAATGACCAAATTCAAAAACCTTCCTTCAGAAATATCTTAAAAACTGAAAAAATGTAAAATAAAAAAATCATGTACATTCCATGCAAACTAACATCTTTCAAGTTTTACTTTTTTTACTTTTGTTATTCTATTTTTTCTCGCAACCCTGACTTTTTAAAATAGAATAACAAAAGTAAGAAAAGTCTAACTTGAAGGATTTTGGTTTTCATGGAATGTACTTGATTTTTTAAAACGAATTTACATTTTTTTTGTTTTTAAGATATTTTTGAAGGAACATGTTTGGAATTTGGTCATTATCGATCACCCTGATCTGCCTAAAAACACCTCATAAAAACTACAAAAAAACAAACAAAAAAGAACTCAGTAACCTCATAAAAAAATATCACAGAAAATTTTTTTATGGACCTGAAAATATTAAAACATTCCTAAAAAAAAACTAACTCAATTAACTCAGAAAAATAAATCAGTAACCTCATCAAAGACAAACTACAGCAAAAACTCACTGTAACCACTTTAAAAATAAATTAATAACCTCATTATAGGAGGAAAAAAATTAGGATTAAAACTGACAAAACTAATCGAAAGAAAAGTTTCCTTGGATATGAAGGCAGTAAAATCTTAATGGGCAAACTGCCCTGTCATCCTCAGAAGAACCCAGGTTAAAGCTTTATAAAAAGTCAGGGTTACGAGAAAAAATAGAATAACAAAGTAAAAAAAGTAAAACTTGAAAGATGTTAGTTTGCATGGAATGTACATGATTTTTTTTATTTTACATTTTTCAGTTTTTAAGATATTTCTGAAGGAAGGTTTTTGAATTTGGTCGTTATCGATTCCCATGTCTACCTAAAAAAACCTTCACAAAAACTATAAAACAACTCAGTAACCTCATTAAAAAAAAGTCCTATAGACCTGGAGGTAGTAAAACATTCTCAAGAAAAAAAAACACTCAATTATCACAGAAAAATAAATCAGTAACCTCATTAAAGAAAAAAAATATAGTAATACAATTTGCAGATCGCCAGTCATGATTTTATGAAATTTCCCAGCGATATATACTTCTTTAAATTAAGTTTATTTAATTAATTAATTTTTTAAAGTTACTCATGTGAGCTAATAAAACAAGCTGAAAACATCTAACTAGATGGGCTTTTATGATGGAAGGTGCATAAAACAAAAAAAAAAACAAACAAAAAGATTGAGTCAGTTGAACTGATCTGGGAGAAAACAAGAAGGCCAATGGGCGATACTGCCCGCCATCCTCAGGAAAGAGACCTAGGGGAAATATGATAAGCTAAGTGGCTGGGAAGCTTGGAGAATACCACAATCCTACTTCCTACAATCATAAAAAAAATTGATGGATAAAACAGCAGCGTTTTCTGTGAACCTGAAAATAGTAAATTTTCCTATTTTTTTCCAAATTAGAACACGTAACATCATAAAACCTGAACCAGTTAAAATAAAACAGGATGACAATTTAATTGACAGAATTCTAAAAGCAGTAAATTTTTCTGTGAACCTAAAAGTAGTCAGTTTTCCTATTAAATAAAAACTACAAAAACAAATTCAGTAACACCATTAAAAAAAAACTCATTTACAAAATAAAACTTTGACAAAATGAAATAAGTGTTTTCTGAATGTGAAAGAAGTAAAATCTAACTCAATAACGTCACAAAAACCTGTCATTAATCTCATTTAAAAAATCTGGTTGAAAATTTGATTGACAATACTACTAAAAATAACCAATTTTTCTGTGAACCTGAAAAGATTGAAATTTTCTTTTAAAAAATCTAATTTCATAACTTCATTAGAAAAAAATCTAACTTCACAACCTCATGAGAGAAAAAACCCATGAAAACTTGACAAAAAAAAAAGTAAAAAAGAGAGAGAAAGATTTTGACAAAACTAGTTCCAGAAAAATTTCCTATTTGGTCTAAAAGTACTAAAATTTCCAAGAAAATAAATTAATTCTGTAACCTCATTAAAAACATAAAAAAATAAAATAAATTAATTTTAAAAAAGTATGGGAAAATTTTCTAACATAAACCAAAAGCTCATTGAAAATAGGTTAAAAATTTGCCAATATTCTATTATCAACAATCAAAAAATTTCTGTGTACCTGAAATGGTAAAATTTCATATAAAAATCAGTAACCTCATTAAAAAATACCTAGGAACTACTAGCAAAACTATTTTGTGAATGTAAAAACTCAGTAACCTTATAAAAATAGCACCAGTTACTGCAGGCTAGATTCACATATAAAAACACTTTAATTAAGTTAAATAATTTATGTCAATCTGGTTTTTGTTTTGCTTTTAAGGCTATGATGTGATGGTTGCCGAATCGAAGAGTTTACCAGAGCGTGTCGCAGGAATATACTACAGCCATGGAGTGCTCTGCGCCGCTCACCCCATACCCGTCATCATCGTTGCGATAATCACCGTATTACTCACATGGTACTTGTCACGTGTAATAAATAATCACTCTGATAATCACTTTTTCTTTTTTTGCATTTTTTAAGTATACCGTTGGCAAACTTGCCCCTTCCGAGCAACATACCGCAAACGTTCGTCGAAAGAGCCAACAGCTCCTCTTCGGACGCACCGAGATGGCTCCTCGATCCGCCCATCTTTGTACAGCAGGTGATTATGAAAAGTGCAGTCTCGCCTTGGACGGAGGACATGATACTCACAGATGCGATAAGGGCACCATTGGCGGAAGTTTTCCGCCTTATAGAAGCCATTCAGAATTATCAACATCCGAGGTGATTTTTTTTTTTTTTTTTTTTAAATTAATTAAAGACAGACTAATTTTTTTTTAACCTAGTGGTATTACTTTGCTGGATGTATGTACACGTGTCGAAGCGCCATTGCGTCCGCTTCCACTCCCGCAATACAACTGCCTCATTGTGTCTCCAGCCAACTTCTGGCACCAGGACCCAAATCAGTTTTTCGACGATGTGAGCCTTGTCACAACTGTGTACAACCAAGGCAGCGTACAAGTAGGCAAGTCGTCCCTGTCCGAGCTCCTTTTCGGCGTGAACCTGAAGGAGGCTGGGTTCAAAAGGTACCCGTTGCGCAGCCGCCAGCGCATACTGCAGTATGCTGTAACCATCTTCTACAATGTCTACAACAAAGAGTAAGTACGAGGCGCTGATTTTCAAATTCAATGCTCAAACTATTTTATATTTTAGGTTTGTAGATGGTATGAATAGACACTTGGCAAACCTCTACCCAGTACACAACGACAACTCGACAAGGGACATCATACACATCTATCATCCGGGAGATTTCGACTTCCATGAGTTCCTACCTCTCTTTTTCACCTACACCATACTCTTTTTCTATATGTATTTTTCCGTACGGAAGATCGAACTCGTTAAGAACAAGGTTTGGTTTTTTGTCCACTTTCATAAATTTCAGTTTCAGTATTATTATATTTTCAGGTCGGGATCGCCCTGAGTGCTGTGTTCACCGTCATGGCTTCGCTTGTCATGTCAATTGGCCTTTGCCTTTTTTTCGGTTTGGACCCGGCCGGGAGCAGCCGCGGCAGGGAGGTTTTCCCATACCTTGTAGTCGTAGTCGGTCTTGAGAACATTCTCGTCCTGACGAAATCGATCGTCTCGACTCAGGCCCACCTTGACGCAAAGATACGAGTCGCTCAGGGATTGAGCAAAGAAGGCTGGGGCATTACTAAAAACCTGCTCGCTGAGCTCACAATACTCACAATAGGACTCTTCACTCTTGTACCTTCAATCCAGGTAAGACAATTTTTTTCTTCTGACATGCAAATTTTACTTGATCCTTACCGATCAGCCTGATCTGCTTATTATCATTGAGTTAGTCTTTTGACATACCAACCCAGCGACGATAATCAGTTCAGGATGATCAGAAACAGCCAGATTACAGGTTTATCACCTCAACTATTATTTTAAATTATAATAAACAGGTTAATGAGCGATATTAGAAGGTTACTGAGTTTAATTCATATTTTTGTGCGGAACTAAGAGGTTCTTAAGGTGGCCATTCACGATCACTCCTAGCAGTCCAAACGGAGCGACGCCGTTCCAAAAACCCCGTCAATGGCAAAACTGAACTGGCGTGCATGGCTGTGCCGAATATTTGACCGGTCCAAACTCCAAATATCTATGGCGCGATGACGGCATGGCGCGTTTGTGAATGGGAAAACCTGGTGTGGAGGGTGGGGATTTTGGCGTGCTGGCCTGGTCGTGAATGGGAAAACCCTCGTTTTTTCGTCTTTCTGTCACTGAGCAAACATCTCCATCGTACATTCTCAAAAAGTCAAAAACGTTTATTCTTTATTGGTAATGATATCCAATCGAGATTTTATTGTTGAGGTGATTGAATTGTATGAAAGTTTACCATGTTTATGAAAACGGTGGACAATGATTACCACGATAGAAATAAAAGAAATTCGATCCTCAACCAGTTGGTCGACGTTTTCAAAACAAAGGATACAAATGCAACGAGACGGTCCCTAACCCCTAACAATGATCAGAAATCATAGTAGAGAACTTAAGTTCTTTGTAGTTCATCCCTGTAGCGAGAAATCATAATGTGGTTGCCAACCTTTCATGTAGTGATGATTTCTCTCATGACTTTTGTTTTCTAATCAAGGGGGTAACAAGCTGGAGTAAATATAAATAAGACTCTTTTTTTTTTTTTTTTTGTAAGGTTTTGATAGAAATGAAAAAATAGTGTCACGAGGGGATTCGAATCCACGACATTCGGCTAAATACGCCGCTGTGCTAACCACTTGAGCTATCCTGACTTCGATAGTTTGATCCACTCGGGCACCAACTCTCCATCTCAACCTACAACCTTTTGAATTTTCTCTCTTTTTGCCATTTTTTGATGTCGGAGAGGATCGAAGTCACGATAGCTCAAGTGGTAGAGCAGCGGCGTATTTATCCAAAGGCCATGGATTCAGATCCCGCTCGTGGCACTAGCTTTTTCATTTCAACCAAAACCTTACATAAAAGATTAAATAATTGAAAGAAGTAATTTTTGTCAATAGAATACTAAATATAATGAATAAATAAGACGTTTCATCCATCCTTAAATAGTTCCTCCAATCAGCGGGTTCAAGGGAAAGATCTTTCATCAAATTGATGTGGGTATTACTCTTCTGTTCAGGAGCCACTTCTTACACCATTTCCTCTTCGATGTTTTGCTTTTAATATGTAAATAAACAGAAGAGTAGCACAAGAAATCGTCATCCATTTTGAGAAGGTAATTCACTGGTTGACGTTCGGAGTGACTGGCTGAGGAGCGGTCGTGAATGCCCCCTCAAATTTCAGGCACTCCAAATGGAGCTGTACGGCTTGGCGCGGTTCTATTTGGAGTGATCATGAATGGCCACCTTAAGAATATCTTAAAGTTAATCATAAGGCCATGAATTTCATTTTATGTGGTTAGGTTAGAAGATGTGTAGCAAGCTTGATGAGTGACTAATGACTTTTTGTTGCCGTATCTGGTTACCAAGCCCAGCTCATGGTTTCATAAAAAAAAGTTATGATGTTTGGCTTTGCCATGAGGTAATTGGGCAGTGTTTATGGTTTGATTAAAGGCTGCTTTTGTCATGATGTTACAGATTACATCAAATTACGGTTTGATGGAAGGTTACTGTAGTTTTGTTTCCTTTCATTAGGTTACTGAGCACGGTTTATGGTTGGATGGACTGTTCCTGATTTTTCTTTCTGTCATTAGTTTACTAATTACAGTTTATAGTTTTATGAATGGTTACTTTCTATTTATTTTAAAAACGCCATCAGGTTACTGAAGATATTGTGCAGTTTTTGGCTTTCACCTTGTTAAAAATTTTCCGAGCTCTGTTACATTTTAGCTATGAAGTTATCAACTGCACTTAAGTCATAATAACAGTTTTTTTTTCTCTCCAGGAATTTTGCATATTTGCTATGGTCGGCCTACTCTGCGATTTCTTCCTCCAGATGTGCTTTTTTTCGACGGTTCTTTCGCTCGACATGCGCGGCATGGAAGAGGCATCCGACGGTATGATGCCACGCCTTCGCGACTATGTGACTCCTCAGCAGCATAGATCTATAACAAGGACGAGGTCCGTGCCAAGGATAGACTGCAGGGCGGATGAGAACGACCGAGTGCCCAAAAGGTGCGGCGAAGGATTTTTTTAGTTGATAAATTTTTTATATTTATTTTTTTGTTGTTAGACTCCGGCTAATGCTGTTCTGGGGCAGGACAAGGATAGTCCAGCGTGCTTTCATGTTGGTAATGGTCGCCTGGATCGGTGGTTTTGTCTATTCAGCTGGCATACTGCAACATCTTGTTCCATCAAGCCCTGAGGTTTTATTTTTTGAAATTAATTTTTTTTAAATATTGTTTTTATATATTTTTTGATTATTTTAGAATGGTATGCGAAGTGTTCCTGCGCAGCAGATTCCACACAAGTATAAAAGCCCTTTGGGCAAGGAAGGAGAACAGGCAATACTCGAAAAATCACATTTGAAACTTCATCCTGATAATTTTGACGTAAGATTAAAAAAATATTTTTTTTGATTCTTATAAAAAAATTTTTTGTCTGTAGAACCAGGTCCTGCAGAATTATGGCGATGCCGCTGTGCTCCCGCTTGTTAAATGGTGCTATCTGACAACTGTGTACAATTCGAGCTCGGCGTGCCGTCTCGCCTCCTTGCCTCCAGTCCGCCTCGGCTGTCTCATACCTCCGGTGCGGGCCACAGCACTTAGGAATTCAAGGGAGCCATTGATGAAGCCGTTCAAATGGCACTCGCTCGCCCAGGCACTCGACCCGACCGAGGATGTTGACGCTGGCTCTCAAGCGCGTGACTTCGAAACCCCTTTCCTCCCTACGTCACCGCTCGAGGTCTTGCTCGTCACGGCCTTATGCGTCATATCGATTCTCGTAATGTCATATGCCTCTTTGGCTCTCTACCACTGTATTTGCTCGAGGAATTACGCACAATGGAGGTCGGCGTGGACGAACAACCAGGCCAACCAGCCTGACACAACTGCTCAGGTATTAAAAAAAAAAATTAAATCAATTAAAAAAAAAAAAATAGAAAAACTAATTACCATAAAATAAGGTGGTCCTTCAAGCTGTACCACTTGTCCTGGAAGGCCAGGGTCAGTGCGTTGAATGGCTCACATCTGACGGAAGCACCGTTGCCTGTTCTTACCTAAGTGGAGACGTCAACGTCTGGGACATATCATCTGGTGAACGGCTCTCTCACATCAACCGTAAAAGGTAAAATAAATAATTAAATAAAATGAATAAATAATTAAATAAATTTTATTTTAGTTATTTCTCGCCAAAGAATGAATTAGAAAATTTGAGCTCTGAGGGGAGCAGCCCGCGATGCGAGTATAAATCCCATTCACCAACGCCATTACAAGAACAAAGGTGGACATTTTATTTTTTTATTAAAAAAATCAATTAATAATAATCAATAAAATAATAATCAATTAATAAGGGCTAGGCGCCGCTTTACATCGGATCAGGAGGTGCCGCGCCGTTTGCCAGACCTGAGCAAGGCGATCAACTTCAACTTTACAAAGAACAGTGGTCAGAGGGTGCCACAGGACTATTCCGAGCAGGGTTTTGACTACGGCCCAACTGTACGACTACTCTACGAGCAGGAGGTACTCTAACTGATCTAAAAATCTTCCGTACTGTACTTAAAAAAAAAAAAAATATTTTCAAAGACCGATCTTGAATGGGAAGAGGAAAATGAAGAAGGCCTGTTTGAAAACTGTCCCAACATTTGGTCGATGAGCTCGGCTGATAATCTCATCGTACTCGGCACGAGCTCAGGACGCCTCGAATTCTGGGAGGCGACTACAGGCAAACTCAAAGTAAAACGCTTTACCCATACTAGACAGACGAGAAAAAATCGTACTTTTTAAAATAATTTTTTACAGGGCATATTCGATGATAATTGCAACATCGGAGTGACTTGTCTCAAGATGGTGAGTACGAGGTGCGTAGTTGCGAGGCTCAATGGTGGCCTGGAGCTCTTTACCATAGACTGGTGTTCTGTTCCGAATCAGACCTATAGAAGAGGTATTTATTTTACTTAATATTTAACTTTTTGAATTTTTTAAAAATTCAAATCAAGTCATCAAATAACCCAAAATATTGATTTTGAAACATAACATTTTCCATTAACAAAAAGATTGAGTTTCAAAACCATAAACTCTGCTTAGTAACTTCATGGCAAAAGTCAAACGTCTGGATGTCCATCAATACATAAACAATTCGGTAACCTAATGGTGAAAAGATAAATACCTGTATCGTTCCGTAGATTGTAAACTGTTCTCAGTAACCTCACGACAAAATGCAAACACCAGGATGTACATAAGTACATAGACGACTCAGTAACCTTTAGTATTCTTTATAGTTTATTTGTTATATTGTAATTTTGTAAATACAATAAAGTTTAGATTTAAAAATTTTTTTTAAAATAAACTTTTCTGCCTTTGTTGTGCATGTATTCCAAAGTTTTTATATCATTTCATTTTTCTTCTAGGATAAAAAAAAATAATATGCAGAATTGTATTAATTAGATACGTTATATGATAATAAGATTCTATTTTTTTCTGTCTATGACGATTGATCTTTAGCCTCTATGCTGAGACATTTAAAATGGTACCAAGATCATTATAATCTGATGAAATTCATGTGCTCGCTTCTTATAATGTTATGTGTCCTGTTTGTTGCAAATTTGTGTTATTTGTTATATGTATGAGCGATTAATTTTTATATATGTATATTTTTTTAAATTTCAGCTGGAGGCCACATTAGAGCGCAGAGCAGTGGCGGCCTTGAGGCGTATGGTTTTGAAAGCCTCCCTGGCAGTGGCGAGCTCATGATCCATCGTAGCCGTAGCGTCCGTGCCCATCAACAGCCGATTACTGTTCTCGAGGTTGAAGCGGGCCGTATACTGACCGGCAGCCGGGATCACACGCTCAAGGTGTTCAGCCTGCATGATGAGTTCCTTGTCTTCACACTGCATGCGCATTGTGGGCCGATAACGTCGCTCTTCATTGACAGCATCAACCCGATGACTGCTGGGTCAGGCAGCCAAGACGGCATGGTCTGCGTCTGGGACCTACTGACCGGTAATTTTTGTTTGTATTTTTTCAAGGTTAACTAATTCAGAGGTTTTTTCGTAGGAGCCTGCGTGTACTCACTGGATGCTCATGACGGCCCCGTAACTGCCATGACATACTCTTCAAGCTATGTCCTAAGCCTGGGATTCGACGAGAAACTCTGTGTTTGGGATCGATTCCAAGGACACCTTCTCAACACAGTCCAATTGGTATGGTATTTTTTTTTTCTTCACGCCTTCATCAATTAATCAATTTTTTTCTCTCAGACTCAAGCTTACTGCACAAGCATGGCGATGCTGACGCATAATTTACTCATCACTTCTAAACAGGTCTGTATTTAAAATCGCCTTCTGTTTGAAGTTTTGTTAATAAGTTTTTTCCCCTCCAGGGTTCTTTAGTTATATGGGACGTAAGGACGGGCGAGCCAGTACGACTGGTCAAACTTGGCCACACAGACCCGTACGTGTACGTCAACACGATACTACCTCTGCGCGATTCGGTCGCCTGTGATTACGGCCATTCCCTCCGCATCGTGCGGTTCCCTCTTGTAAGGGATAAGACTGACTGACGGGCCGGACATGACGATTGCTCAATTTATAACCCCCCATAACAAAAAAACAAAAAAAAAATGTCGACTTTTCTTCTCTTAGCACTGTTGTTTTTCTTTCCCTTAATTTTCTTTTTAAAGCTTTACCAAAAAGAATAAATAAAGCACTAATTTATTATTTATTTTTAAAAAAAGTTCCAAATAAAATTTAAAAAAAAACCCTAGTACAAATTTTGCCAGACCAAAAATTAATTAAAGATTTTTTTCTCACCATCCTGGTTATATTATTTATTTTTTAAGTTTCGCCTAGTTTAAACTTAAAAGTTTAAAATAAAATGTTTTAGCCCACAGTTCCTTATGACTGGTGTGGAAAAACTACGTATGTATATATATTGTTTTTATTAAGCAAAAATACAGACTTAAAAGATGAATTTAAAAAAATTGACAAAAATAGTATTTTTGTACAGGCTATGCTAATATTACAAAAATAAACCGTTACAATTTTTTTTATTATTATTTATTAATATTTATTATATGCCTAGGACCTGACATCCTTTAGGAGTGGCTCTTGGAGGGAAGAAACCATTAGCTAATATCCTAAGTCCTTTTTAGGCTGATTCCTTCATATTGTTCTTTCATACTAAACGTTTACAGTTGTTTTTAACCTTTTGAAGTTCTGATGCGGAGCATGGTTACAGAACAGTATTGGTACCAAGGCGTTGAACACCACATGGGAGCAGATCATCCTAGGTCTAACCTTGTCATAAGGCTTTATAAAACTGATTAGCATATAATCAACCTGGATCATATGACAGTGGTTGAAAAATGAACATTCTGCCTCGTCCTGGTGAACAGGATGGGATTTCAAAGTGTTGAGTAAGCAGATTCAGTTTTCTCTTTTCTTTGATTTGATTATAATCAACACTCGGGTTAAATTGTTCAGTGTTTTTTTAAACTTTTATATCACAAACAAATTTTTTTCCTAACAAGCGTGATTCCATTTTCCGTCGGTATCTTCCACAGACCGATGGGATTTTTCCATTTTTTTGCTCCTTTTTTTTATTATATATATTCGTTTTTTTCTTTAGGGGAGAAAGGGGGAGGATTTATTGCCGGCAGATTACGCTTCGCGGCCCTAAAGGATTGCCCTTCGCAATGGCAGGGGGATGGTAGGGTGCGGGGGTGGGCCGTTATTTTTCCCTGAGAGATAGTGCCTTCTTGTGATCTATGGCCCCGGGCTGCTTTTTCCCTCCCTACTGTTTTTTTTCTTTCCTCCCCACACTTTTCATATCAAAACTGACGATGGAAAAATCTGAGTTAGTAAAGAAAAAAGAAGGACTTGGCTATACAAATCGGATTGAGTAATTTTATCTTATTTTGACCAGAGGCGAGAAGGCTCATTCCAAAAATATTGCAATTTGGACCTTGCAATTATTGTCTATCAGAAGCTATAGGTATTATTTTCCCTTAGCTCCTGTTAATTGTCATCCAATCTCCTGTCTCAGTACTTCCTAGCTCCTGTTACTTGTCTCCTCAAGAAACTCCTCTTTGTTCGATTCTTCCTGTTACTTATCTCAAGAAACCTGAGCTTCTGCAATAATCTTCCCTCCTGTTACATTTTTTTCGAAATTTTACCCGTTTGCTTCTATGATCTTTCTTGAGCCGATGTTACATCCGAATGTTTGCTTTTTATCCACTTCGTTACTCCTGTTACTTTTTTTTAAATCAAACACCACTCACTTCTTTCTATAACTTTTCTCCTGAATTTCTGTTAATTTTATCATTAAATCATTCACCTGACCACCTGTTACGTGTCATCCAATTATCAGTCCCTGTATCAATTCTTCTGAGATCCTGTTACTTCTCAAAAAACCCTCTCCTGACCTCCTGTTCCTAGTCTTATGAAACTCCACTTTCACTTCTTTGCTCATATTACTTTAATATAAAAAAAACCTCTTCAGAGGTCCTGTTACTTTTCTCAAGAAATCTCCCACTGAGCTCCTGCTGCCTAACATTGAAGCTTTTCCCTTCTACTTTGACTGAAACATTTTCCTGCTACTCCAAGCTCCAGTATTAATTCTTCCAAGATCCTGTTACTTTATTGAAATACGGCGGTCTCACTCTTGAGTTCCATGAATTCTTATGAAATTCCACTTCTGTGACTTCTTTGTTTCTGTTACTTTTCTCATGAAATCACTCACCTGAGGTCCTGTGTCAATTTTTCCGAGCTCCGGTTTCTTTTCTGTTATAAACCTCTTAAGCTGTTGTTACTTTTCTCAAAAAATCCCTCTCTTGAGCTCCTGTTACTTTTCTTACGAAACTCCATTTCTTTGACTTCTTTGTTCGTGCTACTTTTCTGTAAAAAAATCTCGTCCGAGCTCCTCTCATTTTTCTTGTGAAATTCCACTTCTTTGCTCCTGTTACTTAAAAAAACTTTCGTGCTCCTGCTACTTTTCTTTAAAAAAAAACTAATCCGAGCTCCTGTTACTTTTTCTCAAGAAGCCTCTCTCCGAGCTCCTGCTACTGGTCGTCCAAGGTTTTCTATCAATTCATTCTCCTGTTACCTTCTATTGAAAATCCACTTATTTGGCTCTTGTTATTTTTCTCTAGAAACCCCCTCACCTGAGCACTTCCTAGTTGTCGTCGAAGCTCTTGCATGAATACTTTTAAGCAACTGTTACTTTTGTGAAAAACCACGCTCCTGTAACTTTTTATGAAACTTCACATTTTTTATTTCTTTTCTCCTGTTACTTTTCTAATACCTCATCTGAGCTCCTGTATTTTTCTTCCAAGCTCCTCTCAGAATTCCTGTTACTTTCTTCAGGCAAACTTTCGACTCTTTCCTCTGACCTTAGTCTAGGACTACTTTTCTTCTGAGCTCCTGTTACTTTTTTCATGTAACCTCACACATGACTGTTGACAACTTGTCCATTATTTTTCACACGATAAGGCTCTTTGGCTCCTGTTCTTTTCAGAAGAAACTACTCACCCGGACCACTTGAACTCCTGCTCCTTATTTTCTCGTCGTTCACTGTGTCTGTTTAGTTTTTCAAAAATGTGCATCAACGGTCCATTTAAAAGAGGACAGCGTTGTGGTGCAACAAAAATGAAATGTTCCAAACGATTCTTGTCTGGCTGAAATACCGTCGTTTTTAAAAAATAAAAAACAGTTCATTTGAGTTTTCAGGGGGTGAATCTTGAAATTACCCCTAATTATCAGACCGTTAGAGGCCGAAAGAGGCGTATCGGCAGGTTTTTGACATCCTCGTCGTTTCCTCCTGATAACAGCGTCCGTGGGGCCTTTTTCGCCCCTTGGAGCCCTGATGAGCAGGGCCCCCGACAGGAAATTAAATCCTTCCTCCCCCGTCCCCCAGTCATCAGGCTATCTGATCCTTGTTTAAACCGCCCCCCAACCCCTAGGAGACTTTTAATCTCGGGGGCCGCACTTTCCCCCCCACATTCCGCGATTCCATTATCCCGACGTTTTATCCAAAAGGCGATCTACGTTTGTAAAAACGGTTATGGTTTTTTTCCCTACCAGCATACATCGTGTTGCGGGGGGTTTAAATATAACATACAAAAGGAAAAATGCAAAACCTACGTTATAACGGAGAAAGGGGTATGGCATCAATTATTAATAAGACTCCTCGGTTTACAGATGACTATCTCCATTCAGTCCGGACCGTCTTTCCAAGTGGCCCGTCCAAAAATGAAGGGCCGTCCACAAAACGTGCCACACCCGGAAATTATAATGAGAGTCCATTAGTAAACGTCAGGGAGGAGCTCGGGATAGATTTTTTTAAAGAGAGCCTTCCAAAGGATGAGGAAGGATTGACGCTTTTTCGCCTTTAACTTGACTTAACATATTTTTTTCCGAATAAGTTCCGTTGTACATGTTTCGGTTTTTATCCGAACGAGGATGAAGAGGACGTCTCTTTGTCGTCTAGATGGCCGAGACAGATAGATCACGGTTCGCTTGAACCGTCATTCAGGGCGGTTCGGTGCACTTGGCGGCCCTTCACTCGACAGCCCTACTTAAACCCGACACTTAAAACTGGCAGGACGGCCTTTTATTGGGACACGTCCGACTCAGGAGCGCCCCGCGTTTGAGGAATACAACACCTAGACGTCTCGAAGAAAGGACGACGTACTCACAATGGCTCAAAAGAGGGATTTTCAAGGAGGAAAAGAAAAAGAAACAAAAAACACAAACAAAGTACAAGTTTTCCTACTTTTAATATTACAATAATAAAGGCCAGAGTTGGAGGAGAGATGTCCCAAGAGCTCGGGGATAGAGTGGAATCTGAAATGTGACAGGAGCTCGGATGGACATCTAATCATGGACTTAGGTGAACGTGAGGTGAATTCTTGAAGTGACTGAAGAAGAAACAGAGGTTCGAGGGAGAAAGGAAGTGTCCAGCAATGTAGTGTGGTTTTGTGAGAATAGAAGAGGAGTTTGATGAGGGCATTATCAGGAGCTTAAGAGAGAGTCGCAAGGGAAAAGATTTGTTACACGAGGAAAATGTTTTAGTCAAAATGGAAGGAAAAAGCTTCGACGTCAGGCTGCAGGAGCTTGGTGAGAGGTTTCTAGTGAAAATTAACAGGAGCTCGTAAGATTTTTTTACATTAAAGTAACACGTAGTAATGAGCAATCATGTCAAAGAAGTGGAGTTTCATAAGAAAAGTAACAGGAGCTCGGAAGAGGTTTTTTTTTTTAACAGAAAAGTACAGGAGCTCGGAAGAGGTTTTTTTACAGAAAAGTAACAGAAGCAAAAAAGTCAAAGAAGTGAAGTTTCATAAGAAAAATAACAGGAGGTCGGAAGAGGTTTTTTTTACAGAAAAGTAACAGAAGAAAAAAGTCAAAGAAGTGGAGTTTCATAAAAAAAGTAACAGGAGCTCGGAGGAGGTTTTTTTTTACAGAAAAGTAACATGAGCAAATAAGTCAAAGACGTGGAGTTTCATAAGAAAAATAACAGGAGCTCAGGAGAGGGATTTTTTTGAAGAAAGTAACAGGAGCTCAAAAAAGGTTTTTTTTACAGAAAAGTAACAGGAGCTCGGAAGAGGTTTTTTTAAAGAAAAGTAACAGAAGCAAAAAAGTCAAAGAAGTGGAGTTTCATAAGAAAAGGA